GACCCCTGCCAGACCAAAATTCTAAGATGGAACTCGATCTAAGAGAGAAATTAGCCCAGCAGGATAGAAGGATTGGAGAAAGTAGAAGCCTGGTAGACAACCTTTTGTGAAAAAAAAGGGGAGTAGGAAGGAGTGTAACCAGAATTAGTGCAAAATCACAAATCACAATATTAACACAGTAATTCAAGGACAAATATTTCATGAACCTCTCCCACTGCACCCCCACAACCTATATTTTGTTTTTGCTGACTCATTTAACTTATTCTACAGTCTTTTTATTTGCGCATAAGATCAATTAGGTTTAATGGGCTTATGCTGATTCAGCCTGCATTGGGCTGCACTGTTAATTTATGATTTCATTGTCTGCCAGATATGGCATGCAGTTTTCGTTTTAACCTTAGGAGCTCCTTCCAGCTGAAACTTCACTGGGATTTTACAAGATGCTCCTTTTTCTTTTCAGAAAGAATCAACAAACTGAAGTAACCCATTTCACCGAAAGGGCTTTCACCTGGAGATATGTGTGTGTATATTTGTGTTGTGACTGGAGAGCACATCCAGTTATAGGATACACAAAACCTTTTTGTTTCCACCCATTTTCCTGGAAGAAGGAAATATTTTGGCTAGGCTTTTCTTACTGGTTTGGTGCAATTTTCTCCCCCCGCCCCCGGACACTCTTTGAATGCATCTCCATACTGGCACCTTATTACTTAGGCAATGGCAGGGAGTACAGAAATGGGATTCCTCTATGAACCACCAGCCCCTCCAGCCCCTGCCTTAAGGAATAGTTTATTCTGGTTCCTGGTTATTGTGGAAGGCCTCTGGAGACCAGGCTGCTGAGAAAGATGTGATGCCATAAATTAATGTTGTGGGAAGCTATATTACACCGTTTTACCACCTTGTCTTTTTTAGAGCTATTGTTGGACTGTGAATTTCTTAGAGGTGACTGAAACTGAGGCAGTGTAAAGCCTCTGCAATCAATCAGTCAAGCAGTCAAGCAATAAAAGTTGGAGGGTGGTTAAACTTTCTGTTCCAGGAACACATCTACCCCTGCCTAAAGTTGTCTCATCACACAAATTAAGAAGTAGCATCAGCATTGGTAAGATATTTTCCAAGCTGCATGTAATGCTCAGTGGGAAGGGAAACAAAGCCAGCAGAATCCACTACCTACTTTCTTTCATTTGCATGTCATTAAAAGACCTTGAGGCAGAACAGTTAAGGCAGTGCCATCTCTGCTACCATAATTTTCTACAGGCTGGAGGATTACACATTCACAATTGTGACACAAACCTCTCAGCCAACCACAATGGTTAGTATCACCCACAGACCATAACTCTCCCACATCACGGGTCCAGGTTGATCTGCCCATAGGAACTCCATCCCTGAAATTCCTTCCTGGGCAAGGTTCACTCTTTTACCCTGGGCGGACATATTGTGACTTCACCCCCTGCTTGAAAGACAGGGCTGGTAATGGTCTAGAGAGGAAATATAGCTGGTTTGTCCCTTCGTTTCTCTCTGAACACCCAATGTACAAAAGTAGGGACATTGATCTATATGGCATGTGATACTGGTTTTAGCCCCCCCCCTTTTTAAAGAAGGCCTCCCATTTCAGGTTCACCCAATTTAGATGGAACTGTGGGCTCCAAATGAAATGTTATACCTCTCCCCACAGGTTGCCAAAATCTTTCCCAGGTGATTTTGTTTTTCTTAATCAAACTTCCCAACCCCCGAAGGAACCCAACTGGATGAATAGTTTCATCCAGAACATTCTCTATACTCGGTAGAGCTGCCAGATCTGGAATACCAAAATCTTGACAACTACTCAGTAGATAACTATAGGATACATAAAGTATCCTCTTTGCTGCTATCTAGTGCTCAGCTGGATTTTTTTCAGCCCAGTCTGAATTTTTTTTGTCTATTTTAACTCTGATGGATAATTATTCTATAGTATGGCATATTGTTACTTACTATGCCTACTTGCTTACTTAACCTATTGCATTCTAGGTCTAAGTTACTGAAGCATTCGTGGTATGTTTTTAAGTTTTCCTATCCCAATCATGGTGAATTCCAGTTAACTTGGTGATTAGTTGCCCTAGTCATGGTTTTTCATTTGTTGCAGGTCAAAGAAGATTGGAAATACGTTGCCATGGTGATTGACCGCATCTTCCTCTGGATGTTTATTTTTGTCTGCTTGCTGGGGACAATTGGACTTTTTCTTCCTCCATTTCTGGCAGGCATGATCTAGCTGCAGGATGAAGAACTTTAAATATATCAACACCACCAGACAGTCTCCACAAAAATGCCACCCAAACTTCCATTCACCTTCCTAAAGAAGCCAATAACAGGATCATCGTCTTGGTCCTGTATCTGTTGCCAGGAATTTTAACAGATATTTTTCTCAGTTACTAACATCATATAAAACCCCCCAAACTTTAAACAAAGAACAATAATATGAACTTATACTTGAGGTTTTGTGTACCTATTTTACATATTTTTGTTTTACCAAAAATCAAGAGAAAATCATGTCACCATTATTCAGCAGTGCATTATTTGGGGGCAGCTGTGTGGGGCTTGTGAGCCACATATAGTGCAGTGGCCAGAAATTCTTGATGCTGTTACTCATTAAGCTTGTCTGCTGTTACTCCAGAAAGCCAAGAGTAAAGTTAAAAAGTTTGTTGCAGTGGGAAAATGTCACAATGTGAGCTAGAATAATTTCCAAACTGGGAAAGTACTTTGATTTAACAAAGCCTAGTTACCTGCTGTTGAAGCAGCATTTAATTCCTTGTATTAGAAAAATATGCTAGGGAGTCTCTGTGTTGAGGATTTATAAGTTATCAGAATTTCCGGAGATGCATGGAAAATATTTATTATGCATTCATTTGGTTTATACCTCATCTTCCTGCTCTGGCAAGCAGTCAGGTGGATAATAAATTTTCTATTAAGGGACTTAAAGTAAAAATGTTATTAAGATAGTAACTAATCATCCATACCCTCTGAGAACTACTGTTAATGAAAGTAAAAATGTTTCCAACCTATTGCATCCTGGGTTCTGTTCCTCGATAAGGGCACAGCAACTTCTTCCAATGGGATTTTTGTTAGATATGTTGGATTGCAACTCTGATCGAAGGTTGTGCTGGCTGGGAATGATGGGAATTGTAAGATGGTCTGTGAAAGCACAGAAGTTTCAGGTGTGCAAAGTCTCCTGTTTAAATCACACCAAGCATCCTCTTTTCGTAGGATGTTAAGAGACAAAGATGCCCCTGTATAATTTGCCTGTATGCTTCCTCTTTCTTGTTATACACATCTCTGTAAATCTGTGGGGGCAAGAGCAAAGTTTTAAAACCGGGTTTTCAGAATATCATATTCTGTCTTTAAAAAAAAAACCTATGAGCATGAGGAATGCATACAGTTGGTAGTAATAGAAAATGGAGTAACTGTTGAATAACTTTTTAGAGATTCTGCTTTGAACTGCAGGCAAAAAAAAATGTTTGCAAATATCACAGGATGGGTGGATGGAGAGAATACCCTTCTTTTCGGCTAGTGGCAATTGATTTTCCCTTTGCTATAGTTTCTTCTTCTGACAAACTGTTATTCTTGATGGCTTACCAGGAGTCCCCGCTCCTCTTTGTTAGGCAAAGTGGATGGATTCACAGAGGACAAAGACTAGCAGAGTGTGTGCAATCTGTGATGGTTGTAAGCCATCATAGATAGTTTGCAAATCATTTTACTGGCTCATTGCACTGCAGTATTGGGGCTAGAATAACATCTTTGCAAACGAATTTTTAAAATGCTGCTTTTACAAAATTTCAGAAAGTAGAATTTGTATTTTTGATTGAGAACCCTGTTCCACTCTCCAAATTGGTGAGTAATCTTGCCTCTGTATCAAAACTTTCACTTGAATTGTGTACTTGGCAGTACAACCCATCTCCCTTGAGATGCAAGCGGATGGGGATCCATACAGCCAATTTAGTCACTTTTGGGCTTGGTTCACATATTACACTAAGCCATAATGCAGGATTTTGGAGCTACTTTAAAAGATTTGGGGCAGTGGATATAGGTAAACAATAAGCTCATGTCATTAAAATCAACAAAGTATTTTGTTTGTTTTACAAGGAATCAAGGAACTATAAATGTTATTCCTTTAATACATTTCACCCTGGCAAGCTTGGAAAAAAGCTCAGAGGTTTTTTTGTTTGTTTGTTTTTGAAGGGGTGATTAAGTCATTGATTTCGCTTTTTAAAACACCCTCAAGCATTGGAAAAATGCCCACAAACTACCCATCATGCAGAGTATTTGTAAGAATCAATAAATTGCCATGGGGTTTCCAACAGCAAGTGAATATACAACATTTTTAAAAACATCCAGCATAACCAATTTTGTTTTAATTGTTTTTCCCTTGCCTTTGCATTTTTTACGTGAAATGTAATTGACCCTTAATTAGAGTCATATGTGTTTTTGTGCAGTTTTGCTATCTGCTTTGAGAATTTTGTATTGGAGTCAGAAGTAACATACACACTTCCTTGCATTTTGGCTAGGGTACAATGTATGGGCTTCAGAAAATCATTGGATCTGCAGTTTTGAGACCTATATTGTAATTCTCCGTGAATCTAGTGAATGTAGCAAAGTATCACAAGCAGGCTACATATGAGATGTTTGAAACAGAAGTAGCTTGGCTCTTTCAATAGAGTGGAAATTGTAATAAGCTGAAGCTCCAAGAAAATTTGTATGGAGTGGCCACTACATTACTCTAATCAATGTAGCTACTTTACTGTTGCATATGGTAGCTATCAAGTTCTTTGTGTGACAGCCTACAGTAGAATTGATTACATCAGCTATAGTTCTCCAGATTGCAGTCAGGGAGTCTTCCCGGCTGTAGAGCATTTTCAATTGTAAAATGTCAGGGACCAAACCTGCAAACTGCATTATAACACCACATCAGATCTTTAACTAAGAAAAAGTGTTATTTGTGATGAAGAAATGGAATATCAGCCACTGGAGCTTTATATTTAATTTATCTCAGGCAAAATAAACCACATTGCTTTAATTTTCTGGTCAAAACTCACATAGCAAACAAAGTTTTCTAAACTTGTTTTTTTTAAACACATAAAGATAATACGAAGAAGTATGGATAAACTGTGCTGACCTCACGTAGGTCAAGAAATATAAATACCTTGTCAATTTCTTAGGCACCTTTTCCAGATTCCCCTTCCCCCCATCCCTAATTCTCTCCCAGGAATGAGATACTTGCATTCAAGACAATAGAATTACAAATATATTAATGGCTTCTAGTCCTTCAAAACGTGATTGTTTTCAACAAAAACGTCAATTTCAGTAGCAAAATTGAAGCCCCATATTTATGAGGCATAACATCTTTCTTTTCAAATTATAATTCAGTAGCAAATATGGGATCAGATCTGTGTTTGATCTATATTCATAAGGGGAAGGAAGATATGTACAAGCACACCGCAGCTAATGTCATTTGCATCTAAAATATATACGGTACCTAAAAAACCAGAAAGACTGTTGTGGCTACAAGCAACTTTTCAAGTTAATCAGCTTATAAAGGCTGAAACACCTCCAACTTATTAAACCCTGATGCCCTTCCGTACTTCTTATGGCTTTATACATTTATTTGGATCTGTGTAATTGACAGAGAGAGATCTATTGTTTAAACTGGTTCAAAAATTCAATAAATGAGGCTATTAAGGGAAGAAGATTTAGGGAGGGTGCACACATTCAGATATGGCCATTAAATATATGTTTCTATACAACACAGCAAGATGCAAACAGTCTCTTCTGAGGAACCAGCATCCCCATGGGAATATCTTCAATCAAAATAGATGTAGCAAGACCTAGTAAACATATTCCCTCTCACTAGGCTTTCTAGAACCCTTGGATCAACCAAGGAGAAATCTTACACGTCATTTTTTGGCTTATCCTGAGAACAGTGTAAAGGCTCACAAGCCGCCCCACCCATCCCTGCCTTTGATTCCTTTCACCAGTGAGGCAGACTGTATCACTTGATGCCAGAGGTGCTGTCTGTCAAAGGAAGCAGAACATATTCAGAAGTCACTTTCTATGATGGGACTACTGGTGCAGATCCAGAGTTCAAAGTTTGGTTGAAAGAATCCTCATCTTGGGATTAGGATCCTATCATGCACAGCGCCCTTTAGTAGCATTGTCCACAGAACCCTGGGGGAAAAAAAAGTCTCTTCCTCGCCCTGAACATGGCTTCTCTGTTGCTCTCAGAAGACAGACGTGACAAAATCAAAGACACAAGCAGTTTTTGGTGAGGCAGGATGGGGGAGAGGATGTGAAAGTTGTGGAGGGATATTTAAAAAAACTGTAAGTCAGCCCTCTTGATTACTCAAAGGAGACCTTCACAAGGTTGGCTCGCATCTTGGCTTGGTCTACAGCATCCAGGAGATTCTTTGCATCCACAGCCAGAGTATGTGAAGCCGTTAACATCTGGCGCTTGCATTCCTCGCTCAATGAAGTCATAGCGTTCTGCTGAGCCAGACGCATCTTGCTGATCAGTTCTGCAAGGTCCTTATTTAGGAGCTTCTGGGTACCCTCAATCTGCCAATGGAAAACACACACACAGGTAAGTGGCAATTAAATCCAGTATTATTTCAAGGCCAACTTTAATAGGATGTTTTGAGTCAACCCCAATTAACTGTATTGCAGAAAAACACCTGATTCCGTATTTATTTGCTTTAGCTTTTAGGAAAAAAATAATACATTCAAAATGCAAAGAGATATTTCGTTAACTATTTCAAAATAAATTAACAAACAGAACCTCAACTATGAAATACTATCAGCATATTAAAAGCTTCTTGATGCTGAGGCAAAAGACTGTTGCAAAGCTGGCAACTTAGTGTTGTCTATTCTGATAAGCATTAGTTTCACATATACCATCTAAGTATCTTCTGGTGATGTTACTGATTCAGAATAAGTCTCTTCTAAATCTTGGATAAAAGGTTATCTCATTTCTTTAAAGCAGGGGTCCTCAACCTTGGCAACTTTAAGACTTGTGGACTTCAACTCCCACAAGTCCACAAGTCTTAAAAGTTGCCAAGGTTGAGGACCCCTGCTTTAAAGAGATGATACCAAGTATTGAATCTTGGACCTTCTGCAGGCCAAGCAAATTCATCTCAGTTTTTGCATTCTACATGAACTAGTAGATACAGGATTTCAAACAAATTATTCTTATAATTGGCCACAATCTCTTGCCATAAATTAGCCAAGGTTGGCAGGCCCATTTCTGATCATTCCTGAGTTTTAAGAGGGATGGTCTCACTTAGGAATCAAAAAGATTTATTGTTGAGCAAGATTCACCTCTGTGCGTGAGGATGCAGGTAGAACCGGAAGGATGTCATCCACACTCCCAATGAGTTTTCGAAGAGAAAGACCCACATCCTACAAAAGGAAGAAGTCATAATGTAA